CGTGTGCGTGTGCGTGTGCGTGTGCGTGTGTGTGTGCGTGTGTGCGTGCGTGTGTGCGTGCATGTGTGCGTGCTTGCTTGCTTGATTGCGTGCGTGCATGCATGGGTGCGTGCGTGAAGTGGGGCAGTGCTAGACTTTGGCGCTTCCCGGGTCGTGATTCTGCGTAGATACAGTTACATCGCACCTGCAGAAATCTTGTAACAAATCGGAAAACGAGCAAAGTGACTGTGCAGTTTTTTGTCGGCTTAGAGATTATAGTCTATTGTTTGTAGTTTTCGCAACTGAACTCGCTTGAACTGAATTTTGCATTGTCATTGCATCGGGATGTTTGCATTTGATTGTTGCACGTTGCACGTTGTGCATGTTGCACAGGAAGTGATACGGTTCTTTTTTTGCTAGTGGTTCTGAATAATGACGTCGTTCTGAACTCCCGCAGGTCTTCTGACAGCGACGGTGTCATCGGAATTTTTCCGTGCCGCGCAGCCCGCTCTACTGTACCTGGTGCCATTCACTCTGCTTCCACTCCTGCTCATGGCTTACCTGAAGGTATGCGCGCTGGGTTAGAACTTTTTCGTCAGGCAGCAAGTAGTTGCTGCCAGAGAAAAAGTCAGTACTACAGTGCTTTTACTATTAGGAATTGTTTGGCAGCAAGTATTTGGTGCCGATGTTGTTAAGAGCAGGCAGCAAACTGACCGCTGTAGGCAACAAAACTGCAGCTTGTTGTCCCTAATTTCGAAGCCTGTTTGCTTGTATGAGAACGATGGTGGGCCAGCTGCCACACGCGAGCATTGTTAGTGGATGCCGTATCTGGGGTTGTCACAGGGTGCCATCATTGAGGCATTCCTGAGGGAAAGACGAGATAGGCATGGAGAGGCTCTTATACATTAATGTCATCATCGTAATTCCGATAACGTACCATCATACATCATGTGTTAGTGAGGATGTGTGCTAGTGTGTTCGGGCTCCCTCTCTCTCAAGGCGCACGTAATCGTGGGAGCCGCGAGGGTTAGGCAAGGGCCAAACAGAGCTAAGAACTGGTTTTCGGCTAGCTGCCAGCCCCCTCCCCTACCCGTTGTACTTATTTGCAAGGTAATCATGTACTTCATCAACTGTGTGGCGAGTGAGTCGTGCCCTCAGTTTGCCCCCGGGGTCCTCATATTACGCTGACATACAAACTTCAACTGTATGGGTTACTGTAAGTTTTGCTACAGCAGTGTTGTTGTTAATGCGTTTTGCAGGGCGATCTGAGACGCATGTGGAGCGAGCCCTTCAACGTGAGCTTACCAAGTAAACTGATCGGAGTATGACCTCACCTCTGCTATGAGCTAATGTCAGTGTTGTGACACCTTTGTGACATAAATATATATATCTACACATCTGCATAGCTGTTGCCGTTCAACAGATGGGCCACCTCGTGTACATAATGTGGACTAATTGGCACGTGGAATGGATTGCAAGAGCGTAATAATTTAACCGTAAACCTGCGATGGATTGGAGGTTATAGTACTCTGAGTACATACCGCACGTGCTGCATTGACAGAGGCGCCAATATGATTGGATGTTGTGCTGGAATAGTGAAGATCGGCGAAAGTTGAGTGTTTGCAGTGTTTCACGATTCTGCCGTTGGAACGAACTTTGCAAGGGCTATATACCTTGTCCTGCAAAATTGTATCATGATGTGTTATATCATGCGTGCTACTGTGACATTGTGCACGTGTGTCATATTCTGTCTTCTATCACTTTGTCATGCTAGACTATGTGATACTGTAGTGTGCAGCAGCTGAAGTACTGCGTGGTACCACACCATGTCGTGATACTGTGGTGTATCGTGCAATACTGTGCGATACTGCCTTGTATCGTGCAATACTGTCCGATACTGCCTTGTATCGTGCAATACTGTGCGATACTGCCTTGTATCATGCCATTGTATTCATATGAATGACTGCCTGTCTAACTGTGGCGGCAAACTTAATATGCATGAACGAACGGCAGACAGCAAGCATGGAAATTGCAAGCATCTGTAGAAGCTTATTGCAAGACAAGCAACACAGTGTGACACCACATCCCTCTAGAAGCTTACTGCATGACAAGCAACACAGTGTGACACCACATCCCTCTAGAAGCTTACTGCATGACAAGCAACACAGTGTGACACCACATCCCTCTAGAAGCTTACTGCATGACAAGCAACACAGTGTGACACCACATCCC